TGGGTATGAATATTTTGGTAGTCTACCCTTACAGAAATTATGTTCCTCCTAATTACTGCTAAATTTTTAAGATTTGGGAGGCAGCATTTGAAAGAAAACTAATTCCAAGATACGTATCTTTATTGTGTCTTGAAGTCTAATCTAATATTTGAATTTAACAAAGAGATAAAGAAGTAGAACTTCCCCTGTGCTTGACAAGCGTAAAATAATGATCCTGGGTAGAGAGTGATCACCCACAACAGTCATTTAATAGGAAGAGGGAAGAAAAGAGACTGCTTTACTAGGCCTCTGCTTCCAGAGGGTTTCCCTCATGCTTAGATGAAAAACATAACAAAACAAAAGCAGCTGCGCCTTGTCTGTAAAAACAAATCATCAGTAATTTATGCTAACTCCACATCATTGTATTCTGTGATTGGAAAGAACTGATGAGAAAAACAGCAGCAAATCAAAAAAATTGCTGTTTAAATCTTTTACAAAAATGCTGCACTCAGAAATATGCTCAATTTCAGGAGTGTTAAGACTTTGCTCATGAGGCTTCATTAGGCTAACGTGCTACTTAATTTCTGAATAAGAAAAAGAGAGAAACAACCTTTTGTTTGTCTGCACTACCAGCTTACATATGAAGGTCCTGAATAGCATCACTGACTGCAGTAGTTCCCTGAATGCCTGAAAATATAGCTGAGAAAGGACAGCTATGAGGCAATGGGCAAGGCACCAGCGCAATGCCTAAATTTTAAGGTTATGCTTTCAAGACTGTATGAGCATGTGACGGGTTAATTTTCATATTGAGCATCTCACAAAGATTGTAAACCATGTAAAAATACTTTAATGTTTGTGAAAATATTTAAGTCTGAGACTAAAACTGTTGTGCTACAGATAATCAAAAATACTTCAGAAAATCTATACAACAGTTTGTTCTATTTTCTTAATACTGTTTCAACAATTTCTGCCAAATGCTGCTTAAGAAAACCTCTCTCAATTAAATCAGCGTGAAAACGGAATAATATCAACAAATGCAATAAACTAACACCCCTCTACTATGCGAGAACAAGGTCCTGAGAATGAATAAAAACTGATCTTCAAAGCAAAAGGATTTCCTTCAGCTGGGGGCAAACTCAACACAGAAGCACAGAAATTATAGAAACAAAGACCTTGAAAGACTTAATACAGAACTACAACTTTACAGTCATCTTTGATAGCCATCAGCCTGGGCATTTAGAATTCCGGAGATCCCCCTCCCCCCTGCTTTCTTAAATTTATTATTTAATTTCCCTTATTGCCGTCTGCACTCAACACCCTCAAAGTGGAGCGGATGTAGCAGCTCCCTAATGTCTCTGAGCCTAAACTCAGCAAAGCTAATGGTGCTCACATGAGTTGCTCAACTAGCTTCTGGAAGAGAGAGACACATTCATTCAGCAGGGTTAGCATCATCTCCCAGTAACCTCCTGAGATTACAGAAGGCATTTTCCAATGACGCTTCTACGGATAGGCTACAGAAACACAATGGTTAAAAACCTCTACAAATCCAACAAGCTTAAGACCTACCTCCAAAAAGGAAACTCAATCTAATTTAATTAGAAATTATACCCAACACTCCCCCATGCATTCCCCTACATAAGAAAATACTCAAGAACTCTCAATTTTTAAGTAACTGTGCCCTGCAAGCCATGCCAAATTTAAGCAAATTCTGCAATTGCTACCACAGGCTGGAAGTCAGTTTCCTGAAATGCCATTCTGTTTTAACAGCACATCACTTTATCTGCTTAATATTTTACAATAGACACAAGCATGCAAGTTGATCATGATCTCAATTTGCTGTTTCATTTTGTTTTCAATTATAACAACATCAGGAGATCTGGCATTTATCCACTGAAATGTGCCTTTCATCAATAAAACATTCTTCAATCAGTAAGACACCTGTAACAATTTAAGTCCTTTCAATATCCTAAACCCCAGTTAGGCAAAATATGTTAACACATAGTGACATTCAGAGCACGAGCACTGGCACTGAAGTTAGGTACTTTTATTAAAATACCCTGCTGAACTGGAAGGCCAGAAATGAATACCCTTTATGATAAAGGAAAACAATCTTTTCCCCGTTCTTTCAACTGATCTCTTTCAACTAAAGACAAGTGCAGAATTAAAATAGTCTCTCCATCCTCCCCCCTTTTTGGGAGGGATTGTGTTTTTTGAAACACAAAACAGAAGGGCATTTTTGTTCATTAGTATAAAAGCTCTTAAAACACCAGAAATGAAGTACTGAAAAGAATGTCAGAAATCACATGTAAACACCCAAGGAAAATATGTAGACTTAGTGCTCAGAACACATTTACAGTGAAATTTGGATAGGATTAGCAGCCACACTGGCTAACAAATACAACTAAAACGTATTTTGGCATTATACTGATTTACGATGCCTGTCTACCACTGAAATTCTAATGTATATTTGTTCTTATTTCTGCTCATAGGTAAACAAAACATGGGTTAACATGACAGAAATCTTAATCTGATACAGAACCAACAACAAGGCCCACACTTAAACACAGTGATTATTTATTTCGATGGAGCATCATAATTTCACAAACAGTATTCACTGCCTTTACTCATATTTTCTTTTTTCTTAAAAGTAAAAAATATTTGATCTTATGAACTTAACACGGGCCTTGCACTCACTACACATCCCAATTGTCACAGGTCCCTCAGAAACAACACATTATAACATATGCTGGGCTAATTCACCAGGACACCGGTGCAGAGTATACTTAGCTGATTACAGCTCCTAAAGGCTTGAAAAGGGCATGTACATCATTCAAACCCAGGGCATGATGTCTGACTTCTTGACATGACAGCTAAACAATGAACATTTTATTCTACTTCTCTAAATCAGGGTTGTTTGCAGTTCTTTTGAGGTTGTTCTGCTGCTTTGAGCAGACCGTGGCTCTGTACTGCCAGTAAATCTGTTATAGTAAACAGGTAAGAGTACATAAAAAACAGGCTTTTGCCTTTCCACAGTGCAATATTCTATTGCAGTGTAACACACAGTAGCCAAATGAACCCTCTGTGGTTATTACCCACCTAATGTAGTAAAAATATTACTATGACATTTCGTCTGGTCGGCCATCTTAAAGGTTAATTCTGTTTCCTATTTGAGATTTTCCTCTAGGTGAGCCAATACGTGCACTTTCTATTTACTGATTCCAAACAACCCTCAAACTGTTTCATTGCTCACTCTCACTGTTAAGAACATATTGACTGGCTGCCTGCTCTGCTGTTTAATTCATTTATGCTGAGAGTCAGGCATGAAGACAGAATTTTAAATGTGACATTTGCAGGCTCTTGGGTCATTTGAAGCTCTGACAACACCAGGGAGTTCCTGACATACAAACTGGTCCTGATTTCCAGTCTTCCATGTTCTGAACACATCAGAGATTCTTCCCAGTGGTGCAGATTTCAGCCAGAAGTTTTTTAATCCCTTGTGCTTACATTTCACAGAAAAGACTTGTACACTTTAAAGTTTTAAAATAAAGCTTATGTTTCCTTTAAAGCAGAACCAGCACCGCCTGCAGTGTGAAACTCAAATGCTTAATAACATCCATGACAAAGGTATTCAGAAAGCTCTACAATAATAATTAATACTTAAAGGATATTGTAAGCAACTTTGACATTTGGTGGACTTTTATTTGTCCCTGTTGATCTTTAAGCATTCAAAACCAGCTCCATCTGAAACTACAGCTTTATCAGACATGGTCTATCTACCCTGACCAACACCAAGTCCCAGTTTTCAGGTTGGAAGTTTTCTTTATCTCAAGGCAGTGAGAATGGACTGCACCACTTTGCCTCCCATGATGAACTTTCATTATCTTCCCCAACTTACAAGTCAATTTTTCAGAGTACACCTGATTACCTGAAAGATATCACACTGTCAAAGTACCATTAAGAAAATGGTAAAGTGACCTTTTTCTTTTTTTTTTTTTTTTTGCAGTTGCTGGCTTTTTGGAGTTTTCTGGGTTTTTTTCTGACAGCAACAGAGTACATCTTTTTGCTTCCTTTAAAGCATCACCTACAGGAGAATTGCTAAGTCTCAACACATTTGTTCTGAAGTGTATCACAAATTTTACGTATGTTACTTGGCCATAAGTGTTTTCACAAAATAGGCAGAGCCCATTGTGGCTAATAGCAAAAAATGAGGTGGCCTGTGAACGCAGACCGGGCTTCTAACCTACCACACCTGGAACTTTGAGAAAAAGGCAAGAACAGAGCACAGAATCTTTCACACAGAAAAGATTTTTTCCTCCTCCTTGCCATAAATTAAGTCAAAGAGATAACCTATAATAAAAACTGTAGCCTTCTATTCAATCTCAGCTCAGATGTCCACATCACCCTAACTATCTTTAAGGTCCTTTCCAAACCTAACTAGTCTATGTTTTTAAATAAAGTTAAAATAATGTTTTTAAACAGTTAGAAGGCACAATCTAGGCAAAATCACAATCTCTGGGGTTTGGGGTTTTGGGTTTTTTTTTGCAAAACAAAACCAAAAAACCCTGTGGAAAGCAGAAAGGATGACACTGCTATAGTCAAAAATAGTGCTAATTCAGAATTGCATTAGGAGGGGAGACTGTTTTCCCTACTCAACTTGTCATGACAATCATTCCACCATAATGACTCTATACTTTGGTGCTTTTTCAGAAATGGGAATATGATTTAGGTCAAGATGCAAATTCAGAGAGATTAATGGATTTTTTTTTCCTATCAGTAGACAGCAATTTTAACAGCAACCTCTGAAGTGTTAACTATGTTATACAGCAAACATCTTTTCATTGCCATGTTCAGAATAAGACTTCTACAATCTAGCAGTTGTCAACTGAGCAACAGTATGTTGTTTTTACATACTTGCAGCATGAGGACATTGATTCTGTGTGACCTAGAAAAGCAGCTTAAGTATTACAGATGTTGTTTATTCTCAAAAACAAACAAAAAATATTGAAAATAAAAAGACATACCTGGTGTATTATCTGAGCTACAGGAAGCTGTTCAGCATATTTTAATGGTTCTGTTGTCAACTCATCCTTTGGAAGCCTGGGCAGAAATGGAAGTTAATGTGGAAGTTAGTACACTATTTACCAAGTTAAATTACTGAAATTTAAGAGTTTCATTTACACTACTGTTAAAAAATATAGTACCTGGGATAATATTTTGCTTAAGATGAAGAAAAAGTGTATTTTAAGACCTTAATTTCTTACAAAGTTAAGAGAAAGAAAAAAATTTTAGTAAATAGAAATGTGTGTAACTGTGGAGTTTTTCCTGACTGGTGCACATTAACCACAGATTTACCAGCAGAAACCTAAGAAAACTTATACATTTAGGTTTAGGTGAACAAAGTGCTGGTGAAAACTGGACTGAAATCCCCACACTAAAAAGCCTTATATATTTACTGAGCAGATTCAGCACTGTTAACAATACAAGCTCCTTCACTCAATCTTGCCAACATAATTCAAATATGACCAACTCAAAAAGTAAGAGGCATTCTTCACCATTTCCCATGTTTGCTGCAAGTACACATCAGCATTCGGCTGTAATAGAAGTTCAACACCACAAACATTTGTGCATTTGCCAGCACAGTAGCGTGTACTACTGGTTTCAAAAAGGCCAAAGAACCAGCGTGAACAGGAAGAGTAGAATACTTCACAAAGAAAAAGCATCATATCCCTTTAAACTCCAAATAAGCTGTAGTTGCAATTAAAAATTCAGAATCCATAAGCAGCCTCTTAGAAGAATATTTAAATGATAGTAAATTAATAGGAAAGCATGTTTTAAAACCTTCAAGCATACTGCTTTTATCTACTGAAACTACACAGCATGTACTACATTTGCTAAGTATCATTCGAGGTCTTCATCAGCCATTCCTCAATGTTTCAGCAGAGGTCTGAATATAGGAATTTGAGTAATAGGACAGGACATGAAGGACAGAAAAAGATTACTACGAAAACAAGGCCTTTCCCTAAAGCTGAAGAATTTCTTTCAGACAAAAACTGTGGCCAAGATATTATTTCCCACGTTCAAATTATTATCTCATACCCATTCTAGTCTAAAAATGATATACATTTGCTGGGCTAATTTACCTGCAGACCAGCTGTCAGGTAAGAGACAGAAACTACAGGCTTAGACAACACTGGGAGTCAACAGGCTATGGTAAAAGAAAGGACAATAAATGCACTTCTCTTCCATTTGTGAATTTCTGTCGTGGTCTGCAATGCTGTTAAGCTCCAAATAAAAGCCTAAATACCCAGAAATTTGCTATGAACAGAGTATGAAAGTCTTACTGTATAAGAAATTTAAAAGTGGAGAAAGAAATAAAGAAATATGGCAATAATTCAAAGATCATAGTGACAGCCCATCTAGAACCATTTAATGTGCTTAAGAAAAATTAAAAAAGCAAGCTCTGAACTACTGAAGCTGGTTTAGTGAAAGGGATTTTGGACTATTATGGCAATGATGAATTTGTACTTGCAGCATGAAATACACTGCTGAAGCCAGGACACCAACACAATCGTCAAAATTTACAGTGAGCTCAGCAACTCCACCGCAGTGTGCAGAAGGAACCTTTCCACTCGTTTCCTTTCTACTTTCTGCCATTTGCGGAGTACTGACTAGCAAACATACCACAGTCAGTGTGAATTTGAGATGACTTGTGTTCTACTGGGAGCCTGACAGCTGACACAAGACCTTGATTTATGGATAGCAGCTACATAAACCCATTTCCTAGCCACAGTTGTACATATGTAACCGCTGTACATAGAATAACATATTCATCAATTATCTTGAACACTTATCTCTTACAGATGGGAAAGACTGGAAAACCTGCGAATCTGTAAAGACTGCAAATCTGGAAAAAAGAAACCAGTATCTCAAATCCCAAAATTAAATCCTTGAAGCTGCAAGTAACAGCTAAAATTACTGTAAACTGAACGTCAGCAAGGAGAAAAAAAAAAAAGGACTTGTCTGTTCTATCAAGGACTTTGTACATTTGGCAATGTTTTCTGTCTAGACAGAGTCAGCATTCCCTTGCATATTCAAACACCCTCCTTGCCAAATGCAGGATAAAAGACCTTTCTTCAAATGTCAAAGGATTAAAAAAGATGGAGAAAATTACCAAGATAATTTTGAGCCTTAGGAAGCTTTACTAGAAAAATAGAGAGGGGAAAATAATATAAACATGCATTTTAAAGTAATTAGATTTAAATTGAAATTAGGCTGATAAAAGCCTTCAACATTAAGAAAGACTTTTTTATTTCTTTCTGATTTCCTTTCTGAAAAAATAAGTCAATTGAACTACACTATATTTTATATATACATTGTAAGATATAGATTACACAGGTACACATTATACTATATACACATACACATGTCTACATATATATACCCCCACAATAACATACATAAACACACGCACACAGGTAGTTTGGAAGAAAAGCTCTCAGCTGTTTCTCTCAAAATCTGAAATGCCATGAAGTTCTTGTATATATACTTAGTGACATACCAGCTGTCAAGTGTACAAACAGAGTTTTGATTCTTCTCTCCTGCAGATAAGCCTCCTCAAGCAGATGAGCACATATCTGTCTTTTATATGAACCTGCATAAATTAAAGCATGGGAGCTCAAAGCTCTTGATCAAAAAAAAAAAAAAAAGCTTACCAAATTTTACCCACCTATATTCTCTACCTGGAGCAAGTCATTACCTTGAGCAAGCAGGTTTAATAAAGCAGTGTATCAATAATCTTTCCAATTTTCCTATCAAGTGATGATACCTGTGACACAAATTGAGAGGTACCTTCCACTCCTCAGTTTTCAAGCACTTATTATAGTCCGTTTGGAAAAAGCTTTGAAGTGCTTCAAAATGTCCAGCATGCTAGGTTCTACCTGTGTAACAATGTCAGTTAGTCACAGCACTTTCAGTACTCATTTTAGCAGATACAAGCAGTATAAACTCCTCTGAAGGGAATTATTATTATGAGGCTCCATAGATCCCATTTTCATTTCTCAGAGCAAGCACCAGTTTACTGATCTAAATATTTGTGTAACAGGTGTAAGACAACTTCCTCTACATGTCTTTTTGCTTCTTCTATTTTGCCAACAAAACCTGTTGTACAGTCATTCCTTCTAATAAAGGTGAAAACTGGACAATGCAACAAGAAATTGCTATCCTATAAGCAGCACAGAGGATAAAACACTGCATATGAAAGGAAGCAACATCAATCCTGAAAGTTCTAAACCAGGAGTAAACTCAAGATTTGTCTGTCCCAAGGAAAGGCCAGAAACAGCTTCTGGAGCCTTAAATCGCCTGCAAGTGGGCATAGAGATCATATTTTGAATAGTCTTTTCAATAAGAACAGAGACAGCTCACTGCCAGTAAGATAAGCAACGTGACATATATCACAACTACATGGCTGAATTCTCTGTCCCAAAGTGAGGGCTGCATCCAAAACTGGGTACTCACAGCATATGTTATCCCCATATCTTATGCACAAACATTGTCCAGGACAGCACTGGCTGGCATGAGCCAAAATAGTATCAGGGACCATAATAACAATTAAACATCATACATGCCTGCAAGTCAGTCTGACTATCTAATTTACAAGGACAGAAGCAGCCTCATATTCTGTCTTGATTGGTTAGCTTGTTCAGTTTTGCAAGTGGATCAAAGAAAAGCCACAAAGGCTTTTGTCAACCAAGGATAAGGAAATTTGCCAAAAAAACAATACTTCATTTTACATGAGCCCTAAGCTCATAGCACACTAACACTGGGCCTCCATGAATGGCAGGATTACCTGCAAAAGGCAATCCTCTTCTAGAAAGTGTAAGGGACACTGAAGGCCATGACAGGAGAGGAAAAAAAGGTCAACACAGAAGAGGATGTTCTACTTCGTCCTCTCTTGCAGGGTGGAGTAAGAGAACAGGTCAGGAGAAAGATCACCTCCATTATAATCATCCTGACTTTGCCTCTTCCTTTCATTCAAGAATGCAAGTAAATTGATTACTACTCTCCTCCCACAGATAATCTCCAGATGCCTGGGGTGTATTCTGTTCTGCTCAAATCCAGCTATGTGCAGAAAAAAAAGCCCATAAATACAAAATAAACGAAAAAATCTCAGTTGATGAAATTTATGCTCAAATCACATGAGCAATTTGAGGTTATAATTTCACAAAATTAACTGGCCTCACTGCTTAGTTCTTTGATATTTGACACTTGAACCTTTATAAAATTAAAGCCTAATTTGTTGTAATACACATTTCTTTGTATGTGTAATTCCTTTCAAAACAATTATAGTACAAAAACAAAAGTCATTTTTCATGAATTAATTTCCCAGTAAGAAACGGTCCTTTCTGTCTCAATTGAGCATGACAGCAGAGTGCTGCCAACAGTGCCAAAGCAAGCTAACACAGCAGAGTATCAGCATATACAGCATCACGCCTGACAGCTGGTAACGCAAAGCATAAGGAGATCCTGATTTTCAGGGAGAAGACTGGAAAGAAATATAAAATCAGAAGAGAAGTGGGAAGCACTAAGAGACAGCAGAAGAGGAGGATCTTGAAAATTCAATTTAAAAGTTATTTTTATACTGCCACTGTGACTGCTCTTAGATGAAGGAAAGTAAGCATGAAGCAAACTGCGGAAAGTGAATCTAAATCCAGTAAAATGTGTCAAGATATTTAGTGAAAAATCTTATTTGTTATTTATATTTGCATGCTTGCTCTTATGGGAAAAATCCTGAGCGCATCAACGTGTGCTAAAGTAAAATATATCTCTAGCATCAAGAGGTGGCATATTTTGCCACAAGTGTTAACGCAGCCTACGGTCTGCTACACAGAATAGCTGCAGTGGCTTTAGGGCAGAGTTATATTTTATCTCATGCAAGCATTACAAAAATACAGGGAAAAAAAAGAGCAACATGTGATCACTAACTGGTTTGCTCAAGGCAGAAATAGGGTGTTAACACACTTTGAGAGAGAAAAGTCTAGGTAACAGGACAAGCCATAAAACCTAGTTCTCTGGGTAAATACACACATTTGCTAATTATA